AAGAGTATCTCTCCCACACAGCAAAGCCTGGCAAGGTACTTGTGACTTACTCAATATGCCAGACACAGTAATTAAAAGTCTCACAATCTAGATGTTACTGGGCATGCTCAAGCAAATCTATGAACAACAGGAGAACATTGCTACAGTGCTACATATATTATCCCCAATTAGTAACAACTGTACCCTATTTAGCATATAATAGAAACACCCAGATATATTTACAGACCCGTTTCAGTGTTGTTGTCATTCTTTATAATCATGCTCATCACATGGAGCCCTTCACATCTCTCGTCAGCTCTCTAGTTATGTTCTGACACATAGACTGCAGGTGGCCATGTAAAAGATTCTCCAAGTGATTAGTTCACAATTTTGGAAGAGTTTTCCTTTAATGGTTTTACTCAAGGAATCTACAGAAGCAAGGGTTGTCAAGCTGTCGGGACACACCATCACCTTTTATTCCAATAGGATTGTATCTTTGCCTTATCCGGATGAATTCTTCAATGAAGATAAAAAGAATTTCTAGGCTTTTGTTCATATCAATAAAGAACTGGTGTCTGGATAACCATCAGAATCCTTCTAGTTACCATTCTACCATGGGAAGGTACATGGATTTTTTCTATAAATCTGATGACAACTTACACCTTAAATTGCCCTTACTAGTAGCATCTACTATAGAATTGACTATGGACTGTGAAAATATCAATACTAAATAAGAGAAAATGGAATAAGCAGAAGGGGCCAGGGTGGAGGAGGAGAATGCAGAGGAGAGTGAAGGTGTTGGAACGCAGCGTTTGGTTGAGCAGCAGGTAGGGAGGAAGAGGGGACGCTGGACCAGCTCCCGCTCGTGCTGAGAAGTGGTCTCAGTGTGGGAATCCGGCTAGAAGCTGTGGAGAGAGGAATATGCCAAACAATACCCTCCTGCCTTTTCATCTCTTGCTTTCCAATTAATTATCAAAAACCTGCCTTCTGTCACTTTGGAGGGAGGTATTGTGAGCAGATGGAGAGGCTGGTGGCTTGATTGTATCTCTATTCTTATCTGTGATAGTGTTTTAGATTTACTTATTGACAGAGACCAACTGAAGCCCAGGGTTTAAAGAAGGACATATAAACCTAAACATATGGATGCTGGCAGCTGAGTGTTGCATGTGTGTAACATCATCTCTTTCTTTATACCAAAATGTCAATAGCCCAACAAATATTGTGGGGATATTATGAATAATATGAATTAATGCCACCCTATTTTATTTAAGGTAAAGGTAAAGGTAAAGGCCCTTCCCGTTGATCGTCAATTTGCTCGAGCGGGCCCAGTAACGTCTCCATTGGAGACTTTGTTGTTACTGTGTCTGGCATATTGAATACTCTCGGTAGCTTGCCGTTTTTTTCATAGAGATTACCAAATCAGTATTGGACATCTCTTAAGTTGATCTCCAACAGATTAGAATCTTCATGACATCTGCAACTCTAGTTGTCATCTCAAATATACTGCACAGAGACAGTGAACAATGATTGAATAAGGAAACAAAATCTATAAATTTTAGCTAAGTAAATGAGCGACTAATGTGTAATTAATGAAAGTGTGATAAAAAAATGAAATTCCAATAGAAGTACAATATGGGATGCAAGAGTGATCGGAAGATTCTGAATAGAAAGAAAATGTGCATTGACCTTTCATACCTTCATAGGCAACTTGTTATTCAAAAAGATCGGAAGAAAAACAGAATGACAGTAAGTGTGAATTCATTCTATGATTCTGATGCTGTTATCCATGTAACACCACACTCTGTGGTGCTGAGAAATCAGGTCCAGAAATCAGATCAGATCCAGACATCATACATGTCAGATAGGTAGACATGCATTCGAGGAACGATCTCATTTCATTAAGCAACCCTCCCGTTGATCATCGATTTGCTGGAGCGGGCCCAGTAACGTCTCCATTGGAGACTTTGTTGTTATTGTGTCTGGCATATCGAATACTCTCGGTAGCTTGCTGGACTCTCCGAGAGGGGCGGAGGAATCGAACTTGGGTCGGCCATGTTGGCTGCGTGCAAGGCAGACGCCCTACCTTCTGTGCTATCGCTAAGCCTTTATTTTGGGGGAATTTCATATTTCTTGTCTCCCCTCCCTTCTCAAATAGGTCACACAATAGCTACTTGGGAGTTAAAATAGACTGTAGAGCCTCTGTCCTGTATATAAGAGACACTGAGTGTGACTCCTGCCAGAAAGTACCCTAGATGCCCCCACAACTCCATCTACTGTCAGTTGCCTCCAAATGCCATCCACATCACACTGCCTGGCAGTGCATTACTGGAGTGACCACGAGCTGTCTCTAATATCCCCAAGTCCCAGGTGTAGCCCCTATAGACTTGCCAGGAGAGTTTGCCATTGTTGAATATGGGAGGAAGGCAGCTAGAAGGAGCCACCCATCTTCCCGGAGATGCAGAGATACAGACCTACCAGCCTCATGGTGAATTTCTCTTTTCCAAACTTTACATTAGGTTTATCAGCTGCTTTGCAGCAGTGATGGGCTGGAGAGTAATTCTGCCTTGAAAAATTATGAAACAATTGGCTGAACACTGAAAGTAGAAACAGTTAATCTCCTGGGCTTTGGTGAAATGATTAAGGATACAGATACAGATAGTTCTGACAGAAAAGTAGAGACACAAGGGCATTGCCCCCTAAATATGTGGGTGGGGATGGAATTTCTATCGCTAATGGAGAATGCAGGAAAGGATTGCCCACGGATCTGGATGGATGAGGCTCTGTGCAGCGTGGGAAAGAGGGGTGGAAAAGCAAGTTTTAAAAGTCATTAACACTATGAAATACCAGGCATTTCTGACAAAGATATAGTAAAAGCTGTCAGGGGCTCAAAATCCTATATGCACAATTTTTCTGGCAAGTGGAATAAATGTAAACAATGACAGAGCTTTCTCATTGGCTTTGAGTTGAAGGAGTTGCAGAGGCAGTTTGAGGAGCGTTCTGGAAATACTCTAAAGAACTCTGATGGAATGTGCCCAAAGGTCCAATGAGAAACCAGGTGCAGTGGGAGAGACCGACATCTTGTGGGGAGCAGTCAGTTCCACATACTCAGATGCAGGCTATGCCATGAGAATCATGACCCCTAAGGCCCATCAGCAACAAATAATTGTTTTTTAGGACAGAGCTAGATTAAATTTAAATAATGTGTATTTGGGCTGGAGCAATAGCACAGTGGGTGGGGTGTTTGCCTTCCACGCAGCCAACCTGGGTTTGATTCCTCTGTTCCTCTCAGAGAGCCCGGCAAGCTACCAAGAGTATTCCACCTGCACAGCAGAGCCTGGCAAGCTCCCCATGGCATATTCAATATGCCAAAAAACAGTAACAACTAGTCTGACCGTGGAGACATTACTGGCGCCCGCTTAAGCAAATTGATGAACAATGGGACGGCAGTGCTACAGTGCCCTTCTAATGTGTATTTTAAACATTGGCGTTTTTTTTTTTTTACTGAATAGTTATCATATCTTTTTGTTTATTGGAGCCAGGGGTGCCAGGATTGAACCCAGGACTCATGCATATAATGCTAAGATGTGTGGTTAAAAAATGCATCTCTAAAGGAATCTCTAAAAAGAGCTTAGAAAAGGGAGACTTCTCTCCCTTTCTCTCTAGCAAAGCAAATGTGAAAGGGGACCACATGTCAGAGTTATTTTTTGAGGTGAAGAGGAAAAGAGGGGAGAGCTGCTAGAATGAGACAGGGAAGCGGGTGGGGCTGGTAGGAATGATCTTGACGTCCAGAGAAGCCCTGGCTTGGTGTCACAGAACAGGAGCACAACCTCCACAGTTCCTGTATCTGGAAAGGCTGCTGTCCACACAAAAACTGAGCTCCTCCTGCTTTGGGAGATGTTTGACGATGTCTGGCTCTCTCAGGAGAATCTCCTTGAAAAGAGACGAGAGTAGCTCCCCCCCCACACCCCCCAGATTGTAAGAACCCAGTCTAGCCTCTTCATTATTTATTCTCATAACCATAAGCTGCTCCTCTTTAGTTTCTCGATGAAATGATCTGCACCGTGATGCCAAGTGCCTGAACTCAGGACTCAGGTCCCAAACACAGCAAATGTAAAAGTACTCGTCCCCCTCTGCAAAGTGAAATGTTTCTTCCTCTACCAAGTTGAAATGAGTTTCACATAAAAGTGATGATCCACCATTATGTTCCCCTCCCCCTTGAGAAATTTAATCCGAGTTTATTTTTGACATAGTAATTTTCAGTGGCATTAAAAAAAATCGTACTGTCCTGGTTTAAAATCCCCTTAGTACCACCCAAGTCGTGGGAGATAGAAATATTTCACTTTGAAAAAGAGGAGTAAAGACAAAGTGAAAGAAATACATATCTACAAAAAGTCGTTTAGACATTAAGATATTTAAAACCAAACTGCAGGCCTCTCTAGAAGCCAAACAAGGCAAGATAAAGAAACAACCAATAAATGAAGAACTTAATCCTAAAGAAACTGATTTTTTGCTGTTATTTATTATTTTTTAAAATTTTATTTAATTTTTTGTGGTGTGGGGAGGCCCATCTTGCACTGCTCAAGGTTGCTCCTGGCTCTGCACGTAAGAATCACTCTTGGCAGTGCTCAGGGGACCATACGGGATGCCAGGGGTCAGCTGTGTGCCTAAATGCACTTTTTTTTTAGACTGAAAAAACTATAACTTGCTGTATCAACAGGACTTTTGTGCATCTGCATATTCCTTTCTCTACCTGCATCATCACTTTGGTAAACATTGACAGAAATATTGAATTTCTTTTTCTTTTTTTCTGCATTTCTACACTTTTTCACTGGGGGGTGAGTACACTTGGAAGTGCCCAGGGCTTCCTACAGGCTCTGTACTCAGGGATCACTCCTGGTCATCCTCAGGGGACCAAACGCTGTGCCAAGGATTGAACCAGGATTGGCCACATACAAGGCAAAAGGGCTTTAAACACTGTACTATCTATTGACCAAACAAATTCTTTAAATATATATGTTTTTACATGTAGGAATTTGGATGTTGTCAAGTGGTAGTTATGTCCCAATAGAAAACACTAGACCAGTAAATTTTGACAGCTTGATATTTGTGTGAATAGCAAACATGAATACAAAGCATAAACAGACAGCAGCATTAGCACAGACAAAAACTATGCACACAACACAGCAACTGTGGATGTCTCTATTTTTTTGTTTCTTCTGCTGCATTGTCACTGTAGCTCCGTCTTCCCATTGTTCTTCGATTTGCTCGAGCAGGCACCAGTAACGTCTCCATCGTGAAGCTTGTTGTTACCATGTTTGGCATATCAAATACATTACGGGGAACTTACCAGGCTCTGCCGTACAGGCAGGATAATCTCGGTAGCTTGCCAGGCTCTCCGAGAGGGGTGGAGGAATCCAACCCAGGTTGGCCACATGCAAGGCAAATGCCCTAACCGATGTGCTATCACTCCAGCCCATTATGTAAAAATATATCTCCTACCCTAATATGGGTTTTCTGTTAAAAAAATAAAAAGTTTCCAGGGCCAGAGCGATAGTACAGCAGGAAGGGTACTTGCCTTGCATGTAGTCGATCCGTGTTCAACTTTCACCACAGATAGTCTCAAAAACCCTGTCAGGAGGGACCCCTGAGAAGAGAATCAGGAGAGATGCCTGGGTACAGGTAGTTGTGGCCCACCAAAGCAATAGAAAACAAATGGTGGTTTTATTTTTCCTATAGAAAGCTAGAGTGTTTGGAGTCATCTCATTGCAAGAAAGCACCAGTGATATTTTACATACCAGTGAAGTTTGTCTAGATTAGCACCCAGCGGTGCTGATGGTGACAGTGATACAATATTTGTTTGCTTGCCATGTTAACACAGTCCTGCTCACCAACCTAGGTTCTATGAAAGCCTCCATCCCTCTGACGCCATTGGAAGGGAGAAGTGCTCACAGATCAGAGCAGGCAGGTTTGCAGGACAGAGTCTGTGAGCCAGCGAGGCTCTCTTGCATGTCAACTAGGTTAGGACCTTATATGGTCTGAATAAAGGGAATCAGTTGGCAATTGGCTTCAGATGCATTTTAGCACTAACCTATGGCCAATGGCATCATTTCCCTTCAATTTAGAACAGTGTTAGTAGAAAGGGCTCTTTTCAGACCCAAATTAATGCTGCATTATTGTTATTAAACGCTTTTAATTTTTGCTAAGAAGAAGAAAATGAAATATAGTCATGATGGTTACGGTATTGGATGGAAAAACTGCAACAAGCTTTAATGGAGAATTGCTTTTTTTAAAACCCCTTCTAGTTTGTATTGGTTGCTCTAAAAAATATCTGTTCTTCTTCCTGAAGCCTGGGGTTGAATCCAGTGCATGCCCACAGCAAATCCAGGTTTAGCCCTTGGCCTGCAACACAAGGAATTCATTACATTTGTTTGTGCAGCCTCTCTTAATCTGTTGTGACAACGAATGAGGCTCTGATTTAAACTAAAGCAAATTGCAAAATGATTACAAGTATTTTCTTTCTTTCTTTCTTTCTTTCTTTCTTTCTTTCTTTCTTTCTTTCTTTCTTCCTTCCTTCCTTCCTTCCTTCCTTCCTTTCTTCCTTTCTCTCTTTCTCCCTTCCTTCCTTCCTTTCTTTCTTTCTTCCTTGCTTTCTCTCTTTCTCCCTTCCTTCCTTCCTTCCTTCCTTCCTTCCTTCCTTCCTTCCTTCCTCCCTCCCACCCTTCCTCCCTCCCTTCCTTCCTTTGTTATTTATTTATTTATTTTCTTCTTTTTTCTGTCCTTTCTCCAAACTAATTTTCATCAGGTGGTCTAGACATAAAAAAAACGATTTGAGGAAGCTACTTTTATTTCATTCAGTACTACCTTTAAGAAAATTTAGTGTAACATTTTATTCTTAATATAAAATCTCTAGAGTAATAGCAAGCAGGTAGGGTGTTTGCCTTACGCATGGCTGACCTGGGTTCGATTCTTCCGTCCCGCTAGGAGAGTCCAGCAAGCTACTGAGAGTATCCTTCCCCTGCATGGCAGAACCTGGAAAGCTCCCTATGGCTTATTCAGTATGCTAAAAACAGTAACAAGTCTCACAATGGAGATGTTACTGGTGCCCACTAGAGCAAATAGATGAACAACAGGAGGAGAGTGTTGCAGTGCTATAAAATCTCTTCTGACACAGAAAAAAACTATTCCCATTTTAAACTACAATGTTTAACCATGTGTTACATTTGTCATCTTTTCTCTGTCTGCCTAGATTTGGAAATAGAGTTTGAGATGGTGCAAAAGAACTCAGGAAGAATTTTTGCTCTTTATATGAGATAGCACAGCAGGTAGGGCATTTGCCTTGCAAGCGGCCAACATGGCCGACCTGAGTTCGATTCCTCTGCCCCTCTTGGAGAGCTCGGCAAGCTACCGAGAGTATATTGTCTGCACAGCAAAGCCTGGCAAGCTACCCGTGACGTATTCAATATGCCAAACACAGTAACAACAAAGTCTCACAATGGAGACGTTACTGGGCCCGCTCGAGCAAATCAAAGAACAACAGGACGACAGAGACAGTGATATGAAATATTCATTTCTTTTGGATTTTTCAAATATCCAAATGTAGAAAATGTATCCACTATGCTTATTATCAATATGTTGTTGAATGCTTCAAGTTACCCAAAAACCTAACACTGGTAAGGAGATCCATTCTTTGAGAAGAAAGTTCTGGAACCCCATCAGCCAGAATATCTTCAGCCATGAAACGCTCTTTTCTCACAGATTCTGTTCAACTCTGTCTCCCAAACCTGTATGACCATGTACTTATGTGACACACCATAGAATATCACACACATTTACAGGGATGTGATTTGGGGAAACTGGTTGCCTCTTCCTTTCAGAGTCAGAGATTCGAGAATTCTAGTCCAAATGCACAGCACCTCCTGGAATGGTGGGTAGGGGACATTCCCAGTATTTAGCATGCCTTGTGAACACAGATAGTAATTGAACAAATCCACAGAATGTTGTTTAATATTCCAAATGGATTGCTCAGCTAGATGCTTCTATATGCCAGTAAGGATGGATAATTAGAAGATGTGGGCCCAACTGTGGATAAATCACTCTACCATGAAGAGAAGCACTCAGAACTCTTTATATAGCCAAAGCATGTTGCAATAAAAGATGGCAGCAAAGCTAAATGTCCGCCCCATGCCCCATAACCTTTAATATGGTCAGGAAAATAAGTATGATAATATCTATTTACCCAGGTGAAGATAAAATATATTAACAAGTATTTTAAGTAGACTCAGACCTTGTAAAAGATTGCATGTGCATACACATATATGTGTGCACACACAATGTCTAAATGCAAGAACTCAATCTAATCTTATTAGTCAATTTTTTCACAGTAAAATGTAACAATGTATTTCTTGAACTTTCACATTAAATAGCAATAATTCCATTGGAATCAAACTCAATACTGGTTCAGGAGTTTATGAATTTTAATGGGTTAACAGCTGAGGGTAGTAATTATTAGCTAAGAAAAAAGTCAATGTCCCATGCATTGTAAGGACACATGTCTTAGATGAAAGAAGAAAAGAGAACTAACTACAGTGACCCCAGAGAGTTTACATTTTACATGACCTCACCAGATATATCTGGTTCAAAATCTTTAACAAAGTTAGATAGGAAGATAGAATGATAGAAAATAGAAATATAGGTTGTTAATTAGGTGACATATATAAGTGTTAGATGAAACATAATGGGCATCTGATAATTGAAATGTCATAATTATATCAGGATCCACCCAGCCCACATTATTATTAATGTAACCACAAATATTTTAATATTAGGGAGCATTCATCTCTGAAGAAAAGAAATACTAATTTTTGAAAAATATTCGGGAGGGAGAGTTATGCTGAAAGTAGAGAAAAGATCAAACATGATGTCCTCTCAGCATTTGTATCACAAACCATGATATACAAAAGTAGAGAGAGAGTAAGAAGGAAAGTGCCTGCCTTAAAGGCAGGGGGTGGGATGGGATGGAATTGGTGGGTTACTAGGGACATCCGTAATGGGAAATGTGCACTGGATGGGTTTTCGATCATCGTATGACTGAAACTCAATCATGAAAGCCTTGTAATTGTATCTGTGGTGATTCAATAAAAAATAAAAATTAAATAAGAAAGATGAGAGACTCTTTAACTGTATAGATAATTCTAATTATACAAGATACATCATTTTATCATTTTGGGAGAAGTCCAGGGTCACAATCGGCAGTGCTCAACATTGCTCCTGGCTCTGTTCTCGGAGAGTACTCTCAGCAGTGCTTGGGGGACTCTAAGTGTTGCTGAAGTGAGTAGTGAATCCAGGTCAGCTCTATGCAAGGCAAGCACACTTCCTGCTATAATATCTCTCCGGCCTGCATCATTTCACCTTAAGGAAAGCAATAATCCTGATGAACAGACACAAACAGAAAAGATAACAATAAAATGAGTTTTCTGTCTGAAATGAAGATGGCTCAAAGTATGGCGAAGTTAAACTGAGAGCTACACACTTTGCAATCTCCTTAAAAGCAAATTAGTGAATGATGGCAGTAGAAAACTAAGCTCTTGGAGTTCATCTGCTTAATTAACTTGTCTTAATTTAGAATGTATGTGCACACTATAAGGTGAGATGCAGTCCTGAAATATAAACACATTAAAAGTTCATTGGATTTTATTGCTGGCTTCTTGAATCGGAAGATAAATGTAATTTTGCTTGCGATAACAAGCTTTGTGGAAAAAGTAGTTTTTGTATCTTTATTCAAAGGCTGCCCTTTCATTGATATCTTTCAAGACTTACAAATTTTAAGTGCTTGAGTAGGAGAAGGATATGAATATTTACATAAAAATGAAGGCATTGTGAAAAGAAGTGGAAGGAAAGATTTCCACTTAAGTTTTATTTTTTTATTTTTTTGTCCTCCTTCAAGGGGAGTTATTTTGCTTCTGATCACTTATTTCAGAGATGCCAAGCTACTTGTGAGTGTTGGATAACATATCATCCCAACTATTCCCAACACTCTTATTGTAATGAAATCACATTTTTGAAGGAAGAGTCAGCATGCAGAATGTTACCTCCCAAAACACAGTCAGAGTCAACTAATTATGAAGTCCTAGGGGTGGAACTCCCCCAGGATAACCCCGTCGATTACATGATAGGGCTGGAGATCTT